AAAAAAAAAAAAGAAAAAAAAAATTGAGGTCTTGGAGAGAGGAAGTTATTCTAACTTTTTGGAAACTTTAGCTGAGCTCAGTTGCTAAATAGTTGTCAGAAGTGAGGGAGGTGCGGGGCTCCCTCCTGATTGGCCACTCAGGTCGGTGGGAGGAAGGCTTTTCCCCTGCTAAACTTTCACAGTTTTATGTTACACTTAACTAAAATCTTGGGAATGCACCTCGAATAAAAGATAGCTGGCCCACGCCACCCCCTGCCCCTGGAGAGGCTGAATCTGCAGGACCCCTCCAGCACAACCCCCCACCCCCACCCCAGGGGTTTTTGGGGTGCTGATCTGCCTCCCTGTGCTTCCAAGGGTCCCATTCCCAGATCTGTGGCCGGGCTGCAGAGGTTCCTTGCCCAAACCAGGGTGCAGAGCGAGCCCCGTTTTTGCAGGATAGGGACACAGAACGGGACACTGGTTTGCACCCCTGGGTGCCTGTTTTGCACCCCTGGGTGCTGAGGGGGTCTTGCAAACCCCCTGTCCTGTGGGGATGGGGTGAGGATCTGCCTCCAGGTCCCACAGGGTGACCTCGGAGTGGCAAAAGCTCCCCAAACCCACGCTCTGGGTGGATGGAGGTTTGGGGCCAGGTGGGCAAAACCCCTTCAAGGCTCTACTTGGTGGGGGGAAAGAAAAGACCCCCCTGGACTAACCCAGCCCAAATTATGGATCAGCTGGAAGTGGCCTGTGGAAAACCCCATGGATAGTCCCCTGGAGAGGCGACGCTGGCCCTGCACCCCATCTCCCTTTTCTCCCTGGTTTCCCCCCCCTCCTTTAAACACTAAATAGGAAATTTTAGGGACTCAGGAGCCGAGGTAGCTAGGAGGACATTTTTTTTCCTGCTGTTGAATTCATGATATCCCAGAGCACAAAAACTGTGGGAGCAGGATTTTTGATCCATCAAAAAAGAGGACGACGGGTCTGTTTTCCCTCTCCATCACACCGTGGGGGGAAAATGTGGGAAAACTCTGCTTCCTTCCGTGGAGTTAAGGCAGAGCAAAATCAGATTTGGACCCCTGATTTCAGTTACAGCCCAAAATTGCAGGAACAGGCGCATTCCTGAGAGGCAAAGATCGTGTTTTCAACCCGGAGCAGGGAAATAAAATAACCCAATAATAATAAAAAGGAACAAGACAAAAGAAACTCGTAAAACGGAGCTGTTGTATCAGAAGAATTAGTTTGGAGTGGCTTTCTTTTGCAAAGTTTTCCAGTAGGTATCAACACTCATTAATGGAAAAAATAATGTCTGGTTTGATTGGAAAGCGTTCCTTGGTAGGAGAAGGAATTTTTGGCTTGCCTGGGGCTGACTCCACTACTGTAGGTAATGTTTATAGTGGAAAGAGTTCCCCAGGCAGCCCCCGGGGACAGGCTGTGTTTGCTTTCCAGAGGAAAGGTTTTCAGGTGCAGCACAGAAGTCAGAAAGCGAGGCAGTCCTGCAAATAGACCCTAATCCAATTTAAGGCCCCGGTGAGTCGGGCAGGACGGGGGTCGCTCCCCAGATCCCGCTTTGCAGAGGGTTTGGGGCTGCCGGCCGGGTCCCGGGGGTGACCCTGCATCCCACACCTGGAATTGGAGTACCAGTGGGCTGGGATGGTGTCCACCAGCCCCCTGGAGCCCAAGGCAGATACCAGCCCTTGGGAGGGGTGTTTGCTCTGTGCCAGGGGTATTCAGGAGTCTCGGTGTGCGGGGTCATTTCCAAGCCTGAGGGGAAGCTGGAGAGGCACCTCTGCTTTGTCTGGTTTGCCCAGCAAACACAGCACCGTGTTCCTGGTGGGATTGCAGGGATGTGTGGAGCATGGCAAGGCAGGTGGGATGTGGGGCTGAGCACCTGGAGTGTCCTGCCCCAGAGAGGCTCCTGGAAAAGGCTGCTCGGGAAGGGAGTGGGGATTTGTTGGGCTGTTTGGGAGCACCAGGAGCAAGGGAAGCAGATCCCGGCTTGGGAGAGCCTGTGGAGCTGCTGTTGCTGTCTCTCCTCTCCCCCCCCCACCCCGCCCTGCCAACATTCTGCTTCTTCTAATTGCCCTGCCACGACCACCAAAAGCAGGGCTTGGTTTCCCAGGGAGTGGGATCGACCCCTCCGGGGGTTGGAGACAGAGGGCATGGACCTCGTTCTCAGCTGGAACACGGGTTGTGCCTTTGGGACAAGCACCGGGCCCACCCCATATAAGCAGGACACACAGAGAGCTCGGGGACATCACCCTGGAGCCCTGGGGGGGAAAAGGATGCGGCCACGTGGCGTGATCCTGGTCCAGCCGGGTGGCTGCCGCTCCTGGAGCTCTGGGACGCGCCTCTCTGGGCTCACTATCCCCTGTACTAAATAATCACTACTGAATTAATCAACGGAATAAATGAATGGGATAAATGAGTGAAATAAATCGATTAAATAAATGAACTAATTAAAGAAAGGTCCGAACGAGACCGAGGGGGTGTTTGCAGGACGGAGCGAGGCAGGATTTCCCCCTCGGGGGGGCTGTTGCTGTGAAACCTCCCCAAGTGCAAAGCTTTAGAGTATCAGGCAGGGTTCATTAAGGGTGAATTTACGGTGGGCCGTGGCGGGGGTGTGAGTGTGGGGTCCCGGAGCCCGGGGCCGTGCGTGTGTGTGTCCGAGTGCCCCAGCAGAGCGCGGTGCCAGCGCCGAGCGCGGTGTTGACAAAGCTGCGAATCTCCTCCCGGAGCAGAGCAAAGGCATGGGCCGCGTGTGCGAGCCCCGGCTGAAACGCGATCCGGCCCTCCTGGAGGAGCAGGGAGTTCGGGGAGGTTTGTGGGGGAGGCAGCAGCGCCGAGGTACGGCCGGAGAAGGAGGGTGGGGTGGGCGCATCCTTCACAATGCAGGGTGGGAAGGAGGTTGGGGAAGAAAAAACGGGACATAAGATACCAGTTTTGGTGAAAGTTTAGTGCCTCGCTTGAGTGCCATGATCGGGATTTTTTTGCTGGAGGGAAATAATGAGTGCAGGCTGGGGTTTGGGGGCAGCACTTGTTCTCCGCAGGAAGCCTGTGGTCCTGCTGTCCCCGCGGCAGGGCTTGCCCGCTAAATCACCCGCGGATCCTTGTGTGCTGCAGAGGAGAAGGTTGGGATTTCTGCCTCCTGCCACCCTGCCCTGTGCTTGCTGTGGGAAGCAGGGAAAGGTGCCCTGAGAGCAAAGGGAATTCAGAGCTCTTCCAGCTCCCCTCTGCTGGGGATGCCAATTTTTGGAGCAAACTGGAAGAAGGAAAGATGCTGCTGTGCTCACTGCCTGCCCCCTCCTCTACCTGCTACAGTGGAAAGCATCCTTTCTCCTTTCGGAAACGTCCTGCAGCCAGGTCTAATTTCGAAGATTAATTTCCCCCCCCACACACACATACACACTTTTTAGGTGTCGATTCCTTAGAGCTTGTGCAGCAGCCACTAAAAACAATGCCGTGTGTGCGTTTTCCACGTGCTGCCCGCTCCCTGTGGGCTTTGTTCCCTCAGCCCTCGTGTCTCCCGGCCGGATATTCCCAAAGCACTCGCCCTGCAGTGACAAGTTTATAATCAAAAGCAAAGGAGCAGCAGAGATAAGAGGCAGGAGGGAGGGAGGCAGGGAGAGGCTTTAGGGATGAGAGGGTTGGAGCGAAGCGCTTTTCCAAAGTAATCGGATACGGGACCGTCGGAGTTTTGTGCAGGAATGTACATCTGGTTCTGAACTGTTACCAGCTGATGTGCCCGCTCTTCCCTCCTGCTTCCTCCCTTCCCAACCCACGGAGCAGCAGACACCAGACAGGGAGAGGCTGCAGTTCCCACAGTGGGGTAATCCTGGCAATAAACCCGGCCGAGGGCGAGGAGGGCTTTGGAATTCCAAGGTGAGGAGCAAGGTGGCTTCTCTCTCCTTGGTTCCCTGGATCCACCTGGCTCTCTCAGCTTGGTGCTTGAGGAGGCTGGAAATGTTAGGCAAGATTTTAGAGGGTAATGACAATTAAAGGGAGAAGGGAAGAAAGGTCGGGGGTTCGGTCCCTGCAGGGTTGGACTTGATGTGGGCCCTTTCCAACCCAGAATATTCAGATTTTCCCAGTGGACTTTCTCTTTCCCAGTGGATTTTCTCTTCCTCCTGAGAAAGCCCCACAGGCCCTTTGTCCATGGCAGCTCCATCCAGGCTTTGAACAAGCAAAGGGTGAGTTTCAAGGGCCATCTCGTTGTTCACCTGGAGGAGAGAACTCTGGGGAGACCTGAGAGCCCCTTCCAGTGCTTAAAGGGGCTCCAGGAGAGCTGGAGAGGGATTAGGACAAAGGATGGAAGGACAGGACACAGGGAATGGCTTCCCATTGCCAGAGGGCAGGGTTGGATGGGATGTTGGGAAGGAATTCTTCCCTGGAAGAGTGGGAGGCCCTGGCACAGGTTTGCCCAGAGCAGCTGTGGATATCCCACTGGAGCAAGTCTTGGAGAGGGGAGGTGCTTCTGAGTCCT